TTCCTTTTTTTTTTTTTTTTTTTCCTTTCACGTTTTATCAAGAAATTGAAAGCACGCGGCAGAATTGATTCAACGAAAATTCAGTTTATCGAGAGCACGGATGATCTTTCCCTTCCTTTGTTATTAAGTATCGCGAGATCTCATCAAAGAAAGTGGCCTTAGTAGCGAATAAAAGGGTGGCGAGATATTATGCAAACACTAGCGCCGCCGCTGTCCGTTTATGATAACCAAGTCTAGGGGAGAAGTATCGGGGAAACTCGGGGGCTCGTAGGGAATTGGAGCACTTGGGTCCCGTCGGGTCGACGTCGTCGTTTCCGTTCTCGCTAACTCGGGAAAAAACGGATCGATATTACAGACAGTCGCATGTTGAACAACTCCATTCTTGTTTCCAATTATGTAAAACAGTCTGAATTGTTTGTAGAAAAAGGAAATTGCGTTTTAACCCGAGATATAAAAGCGTCGCTCGCTCTAACGATCGCAAAATTCCAACAACAAAATATTTCTTTCTCTCTTTCTTTCCCCCGTTTTCGTTTAACAACAACGGAACGAGCAACTAACGATTAATTTGTCTCTGTTTTTTGCCGCCCCAATCTCTCTGGGATGAGGAAAAACACCGTAATGGAAAATATATCAATATACAATGTGTATATCGATGTTTGTATCGATGAAATTGGCCATTGTAATGGTTAGCTAAATGATAAAAAATGGTAAACCGATAAACGGTTGAACGGCGAATAGATATCGAGGCAAAGAAAGATGTCCGATTGAAAGTGGAATGAAAAGGGAGTGGCAAAAAAAAAAGGGGGAGAGGAAAGGGGATGATCGATTTCAAGCAACGAGACAACCAGTTCGACTTATCGATGGACGATTTCCTACGATTATTAGAGAGATCATCGTCCTGTTTTTATCTCGTCGAAGTTGGACAATAATAAATTTTTTTGAAAGGAATTTCAAAAAAATCAGGTATAACAATTATATAGAATTATCACGAACGTATATAAGATATTTATTTTCGTGGATTTCCACCGATGGAATTGCAGAATCCAGCCTCATGGGTTTCTTGGCCAAGCTCGAATCGATAACATGCAAACGGACCGCAAGCCTGTTCGCCATTATCGATTCGCCGAATGTAAGTTACAAACGTGTCCAAGGACGTGGTGGAGGCCGAATTTTCTAACGATATATTGATGAACCTATTTGCCAAGAAAATTCGACGAACAACGATTAAAATCCTGATCCGAAATATTAACATTAAAATTACATATAGAGTATTAACCGAGTTTATTTATTTATTACTGTGACGAGACTCATCAACACGTGCAAAATTCAACAGTATTCAAGATTAAAACGATGAAAGAGCCTCTATTAGTTAGTAAAAATTAATATTAATTTATCATTAAAAAATCAATTTATAACTTCTCCTTTAATGATCTTAGTGTTAATCTATGAAGTCGAACAAGAGTAAATCTTTTTCCGTTACACGAAATGCGTATATAGTTTCCTTTTCAATGGAATTCCTTCTTATGAGAATTCTTGAAAACTTGTATAATTAGAAATTCGGTTAAAAATGAAAAAAAGAAAAAAAGTTTTTATCGTTGGATAAGGCAAAACCTTGAACGAGAGTTTTTTTTTTTTTTATCCTATTTTTCGTTACATACGCTTTCAAGCTATTTTCTCGTTGGAACGAGAGTTTAGTAAAAGTGATATATACAAGGTAGTGAATGGTAGTTTCGTTAAATAAATTGACTTCGCGGTCTCGCTCGACTTGTCCGACCATTTTCGCGCTATTCCACTTAGTCAACTATTTGCGACTCTGTTCGATTTGTCTGATCATTCGTATCACATTCCACTGGATTCCACCGGCGTTATTCTCGCCAATGAATTAATTGGGATAGGAATATGAAGATCGTTTTGCATAATTTGAACATGGAATAATAAATAATGCAACTACTCGACGAATTGGCGAACTTAACTCGATGGTATAAACCATTTCGACAGAACATCATGGCAATGATAAAAATTTCGAACAAGTTGAGAATGCTCGCGATGGACCGATAAATGTGCAAATGGAGGATTCTTGGTTTCTATTAAAGGTGTAAAGAAATCGTAATGCGTCCGAATGCTTTTAAGCGTGGGATTATTGCGTGTATAAAAGCATAATCGCCAACGTTTTAGGTTAATGTGGTTGAGTTTATTTTAACAATTGGTATGTGGAAACACGAACATGCGGATAGTTAAGAATCTCCAAATAAAAGTTGAGAATTAGAGAGAAAGAAAATAGAAGAATTTTAATGGAATGTAGCACGAGAATAATTTTTTGTACTTTTTTTATTTGTATATTATTAATTCCATTTAATTTTATTTAAAATCTTAAAAGTTTAAATAATGCAGCATTCTTTAATGCAGTTATACTTAATTTTTCTTTTTTCTTTAAAGAAATAAACTTAATCGTACCTTATTTTTTTTTCTCAATTTTTCTCAATTTTTCACGTTTGATTTATATTCATACGTGTAAATAAAAGATACGCATTATTTAAAGTTTTTTATGAAATGTATATATACAAATTGTAAATGTATCGTGTAAATGTGTTACGTTCTCTAAAACTCGTTGAAGACTTTATCGTGCCAAACTTTCAGTAACGTAATTGGAAACTTGTTGAAAAAGAAAAAAAAAAAAAGAAAAAGAAAAAGAAAGAAAGACGCGCAAAAGATCGTGGAACAATGTGATGGCAAAAAGATCATGGCAAATGAACACGACCCATTTTCCATGTGCTTCTATAAATGAGAAAGCTCCTTCTCATTTTATTACCTGTCATCGTCAGCATGAAGGCATGAACCTCTATTCAGATAAGAACTCAGCATTTTCGCTAGGCTTACATTGCATAACATATCAGAACATTCTTTTATTTTTTGCCAACAAGCCTGGTTCTTTATCAAATATTGTACAGGAAAAATCACTCTCTCTATATATATATGTGTAAAGATAAAAAGTGATTGTATTTATACATATTTTGTATTTCTTCAATCAACTTTTTACTTCATTGATCTTCGTATGAATTAATCTGTTTGAATATCACATATAAATATTCTTCTAATCTAAAAAGAACCACGCGAAATTATTAGACGATTTAATGCATGAAATTTTATCGAGTAAATTTTCGAGAATTCGTGGAAAAATTTTCTATGAATTTTTCTACGAAAAATTCTACGAACAAGAAATTTCTTCCTTTTCATTAGAAATTCAAATTTGCAGGGCACGTCCCGATTACAATCATTATATAAAGTCGAAGAGTTTCTTCAATTCTTTGAAGCGTCGCTATCAAATTTTCCATCAAACTTTCTAGTGTTCTCGAGTATTCTCGTTTCGAATTCGTGTAACGTAATCCGAAGTTGCGAACCCGATTCCTCAACTCTTGATTTAATAGCCAATGTCAATGCTATTGTCGCAAATAAATCTCTTCGAAATAATCAACGTATCAAAACGTTGGAATCAATTTTTCAGGTATCCAGCAGCGAGTTTTTCAGCGTCAGCTTCGATCTCTCGGACGATTCGAGTGGCCTGGATCGGGACGAGTTTCTGCCCGCTGCGAAGGGCACTTACTTGGCGTAAGTTTCATTCTATTAAAGTTTAATATAAATAAATTATTTTGTGCAAAAAATATTGCTATCTAAATTTTACCAAAATTCACTTAGATATATGAACTCGGTGAAAGAAATTTGCAAACTTTTTAAATTAAAAAATTTATACATTCATACATCACGATTTTTAAAGTTTCAAAATAAATTTAACAATTGTAAATAAAAAAACAAATATTATTATTTCCTCTAGAACATTGCAAATATACACATTAAAATATACACATTAAAGAAAATCTTTCTTTTAATTCACGTATACATAATTCTTAATATATGATCACAACATATAATTGTTAAGAAATAATGTGTACAATTTATGTATCGAATTTCGTCTCGAGGAGTACGAGAAGGATTCGAAAGGCGGATAATGATCTTGAAACAAAGTTACGCCTCGACGAACCCTTTGACGAGTTCTCCTCGTGACATCGTTTAATAATCACCTTTAAATAACGAGGAAATATCGCGTAGCGATATTCCTGCGACGTGCTTGCACAACGTGATCTCACAACGAAAATTCTTGCGTTGGCTGTTTACGGCCGCATTGTAACGCTACTTACTTGTATCCTCGCTGTGGGGATTTGTCGAGAGGCCATTACGCCTAGGCGTGGCCTCCATTCTTGTTCTTCCATTTACTCGATAACCCTACTATTATGATTCCGTCGTTAAATGGAAAATTACGAAACAAGCGCCGCTTTGTTGCAGCGAGGCGATCAACGCCGCTTGCGAGAGGCGCGGGATCGACATCTCGCGGATCGAGGTCTTCGACGGTTTCTCGCCGCCATTGCCGATCCTCACCACGGACACCTCCAGCCTTGGCGGCAAGCATTTGCGAATAACAGGTAAAATTCACGAATTCACGTTTTATTTTCATTCATTTCTCATATTCTCTGAAACATCTGGATATTGACACGATCAGAAAAGGACTTTCAGAGGAATTCGTGAATTGCATTTCGCAAATTTCTTTTAATTTTAGTAGAGATAGTGGTTAGATTCCTTATCTGTCTGGTTATTATCATCCCAGAAATCATTCGTACGAAACACGCAAAGGACGGAGACGATATTACGGTCGATATATATATCTATTTATAATTGTGGACAGAGATATAAGAGATTTGGGGAAACGAAACGTCGAACGTCATTGGCTAGAGAGTCCACCAATGCTAAAGTTATCGCGAAAGTTCACTCGTTAGCCAGACTGAGAGCCATTTGCATTCTCGGTTGCAAGCTTCGGAAGTTAAAGGTAAGATCGAAACGGGGCTGAGTGTAATTCACTGAGTGGTGACTGATAACAGATAGAGGATCGTGATTTCGATGGACGAAACTAATTGACATTCGACCGCGTGCACGCGACGAATCTTCCCCCGAACGAATTGATAAAGTTAAACGGGCCATAAGAATCGATGTAAACACGCGATCGTAATTGCGATGTTAATAGCAACGTTATCAATGTTACTGGCATTGAATGGCGCATGAATCGATGATCGAAGGGACGGATAAAAAAAGAGGAAATTGAATTCGATGCGAAACGGATGTAAAGTGGACGTGTGTCCGTGAGGGGCGACATCTTTTGATCGATGCGAAAGGGGGAGGGAGGAAGAAGAAAAAAAATGGCATAGGTACACGTACGACGACGGTCACGAGTGATAAATGTATACACAAGCGACGATAAATGGATTCGCGTCGAAGGCGAAACTTTGATCGAGGCGTAAAGTCGCTCTGTCCGAGCATAATCGGGTCATACTACTTAAAGCTCGAGATAAAATCGAGTTTGAACTACTACTACCGCTGCGCGGTGTAGAGCAGGCGTGTTTGACTTTGTATCTGGCCATATATAGATGAATTCTACTTAACTTTTCTGATGAAATTTGTAGAATTTTATTCGTGAAATTATTTCGATATTCATCCGCGAATAATCTCCATTCACGTTAATTATGGAGGATTATCGAAATGAATATGATCCTCAACGCGGTAGTATTTTTCTTTTAAATTAAAAACGACGACGATTTAAAGAAAAATGAACGATGAATGAAAAAGTGTGTAAAACTGTTTTATCGACATTCCGCCATTTTAATCGACGTTCTTTATTCGCGCAATTACAAAATGGTGGTAAAAAGATAGAAAGGTGATCCGATGACAAGAATTATTTCGTATCGAGCTTTTCCACCGATTTGACGCGGACAGAAATCGATTTCGAAAAATCCCGCGATTTTTATCGCGTGAAACACGGTATTCCATCTAGACGTCGTACAGTCTAACGATTAAATAAAAAGGGTGAAACGGGACGCGTATGGGCGCGTATCACGCGACGAATCGTGGAGGATCGTGAAGGAGGGAAGGACGCATAGGTGCTATAATTCCTTAATTTACCACCTCTATCCTTGAGAGCGCTAAAAAGGAATTCACAAGGACAAAGGAAGCCACTTAATAGACCCTGTTCTCGTATACCTTTCCGAGCAAACCTACTTACCTACTCTCCGAAGCGATATCGAATATCGAAAAAATAAACGGATGCTCCGTTGTGATACAATAAGGCGCGTTTAACTCGATTAATCGTAACCGAGATACAATAATAGATAGTGCACGTAATGCGATTTTCCAACGATACAATTATCGAAGGGAAATTCGAGGAAAATTTTCGTTTAATAATTCGAGTTGAGTGGGTTTCTTTTTTTTTTTTTTTCGAGCTGCGTTTGATTCGATCGAGAAATAAAAAAAAGTACAAAATACGTTTTTATTCCATGGTCTAAGTAACAATAAGGGATGATGAAATGAAATGAAAAAAAAGGAAGGAAATGTATAAAGTAAACTTCATAACCTAGATGGAACATGGTTGGTGGAAACATGGTTCAAATAATTTTATCTCGGGGGTTGTTGTCTCGGAACAAGAAAACCTCAAATTCCTCGTCGTCGAAGCAACTTCGATAAGCGATTCGGATAGCTATAACGTTATAACACTCGTTGAAAACCACCAATGAAATATCTTGTTTAAATTCCTTGCTCGAGCAATGTTCGATCATAGTTCACATTTCACTGCGATTACTTAAGTTTTAGACAATGTTTACTAATAAATTTTATTCGTATATTCGAAATACTTTCCGCATTTAAGTATCTTTGTTTAAATATATATAATTATTATTTAAATGTGAAAAATGCAGAAAAATATTTCGAATAAATATCGTGTAATAATAAAATCAAACGATAGAAACATATATATAATTCTGCAATATTTAAAAGTTTAAATGTGACAAATTTCAACAAGGTTATTGTAACATCAAGACGATCTTTTTTCTTTATCTTTTTAAAAGAGTAGAGCCAAAGCTCCTGAGATTTTTAATTACAACTTTATAACTCTATAATCTTGAAAAATATCTCTCTTTTATATGCATATTTGAGATTAAAACAAAGGTATTCCGTAGAGCATGGCCCGATTTATGACTATTTAGAGAAAAAAAAAATTGAAATTTTCTTATCACGGCTACTTCTAAAAAAAAAAAAAAATTATATTAATTATTTTTAGAATTGTGCGTGTCGAACAGGATGACCTTGAACCTTAAAGCCCCCTACCCCTATCGAAAGAAATTATCGGCATTGTGACGTAAACACAATTTTAATGCGTGAACAAAAACTCACGCAATTATTTGCCAGAAGTTTAGATGGGTATCACGCTTGATAGTTATTCTTTTTTCGCACGTTGCGCCGAAATATCGCTCTCGTTTCATCCACGCAAGAACTGTCTAAAGAGTGGGTAAAACGTGCGATCAGATACAGGATGGAGCTTAGTACGCGAGTGGAAAACGTCCATCATTGTTCGACCTCATCCCATGCGAGAATTGTCACGAACATCGATAACGCGATGTCTG